GATGTCGCTTGTCAGCGCTGACAGCAGCTTGCGAACGCAGCGATGGCGGCGGCCACCGTTCATGATGTTTTTTTTTTGTTTTTTTTTTTGCATTCAACTGAGGGCTGCGGGTGTGCGTGGTTGGCCGTATGGTAAGGCCGGTCAGTTAATACGCACCGCGATTAATTTATGTTGACCTACTTTATACTGAGATGAAGCACAGGTGTTGCGTCGTGTCAATTGGCTACACTAGGGTCTATGAAAATGTGATTGTTCTACGTTGTTTTTTTTGTTTTGTTTTTTGGCGGCGGCTACAGGGGGGCCAAGATTCCTTTACCCTGATATTAATAACCGAATTCCGCACGCACGTGCACAGAATTCAGCGTTCGAAACAACTAGGCACATAAGCTGAAATTGTTGCGATGTCGCTGGTATACCAGGCATGCTCCGGGTATCATATTTTCCGTCGCAAATTACCCAAGGGATTTTCAAGTGCGTACCGCCCTACACCGCCAGCGCTCGCCCTACACGCACAAGACCGTAGAAACCAAGATAATGGTCATGTCTCTAGCGCACAGTTGCTCGCCACATATAAGTCAGTGTATTCGCCCTTGCCTGTTTGATTGGTTCATTTTCCAGCGTGGTGTTGCTCACGCACAGCCAACGATGCAATCGATAAAAATATATAAATAAAAGCTGTTGCAGGACCCAAACGCACATCAAAGCATCAAACCAAAAAGCAGGTAGTTGCAAAAGCTCCCCTTGGCGTGTATTTGGAAAATTGGGAACACTAGACACACTCCCTCTAGTCTCCGGCGCACTGAGTCACAGCTAGAGTGACTGACAGAGAGCACGCATAGAAGGAATCTTAACTAGAATGTCTCCACCTGCCCACATCCTGTTTGCTACGAGTACCTGCCTCAGAAGGGGCTTCAGGAACCCTCGGACCCACATAGAAATATAGATTGGTACAGCAGAGTTTGCCGTCATCGCCCCAGTGGCAGCAAAACCATGGGCCGCCACATATCACCTGAATACAGTCGGTCTTGGTACACCGCATGTGTGACATAGAACGTTATTCCAAAATCCATAAGACATCGCGAGATGCATTCACCGCTGCACTTACGCGTCCAGCAAGCGAAACAGCCTGGCAAAAATGCTTCGACGCACGAACCCCACGCTGTTTGGATGAAATTGGTTTCAAAGCGTTGACCTAAACGAAGTGGTTTCGCTCACAATTCTAGATCACCTCCTTCGAATAGCACCACGAGAAGCTTGGTCGCCTGTTTTTGTCGTTGTTTGTTTGTTGTTGTTTTTGTTGTTTTCTTTGTTTGCTAGAACTACGTGCAACGCTGTAACGGTGTCAATTGCGACGTAGTAATGCCAAGACAGAAGATGCAACGATGCATAACAGTGCAGCTTCACTCCGTAACTTAACAAATCATGCGTTCGCCGTCATAATTTCGTCACGCGTTGCCGCGCCGTGCTTATTCTTCTCCGCATGAACTGTAAGTTATCTATATTATTTCATATTCATATTCTGTCGATCAATGCGGCCACATGTTCCTTGCTAGCGAGAAAAGTTCCAGTTTTTACAGATTTCTAATTCTTTTGTAACTCTCAGAACACTATGACGCGAGCGCTGAACATCCGCTCAGATAAAATGAAGGATGGTAACGACTGTGAGAGACATGGGGCGATAGTCAACAGGGTCAGACGGAGATCCACGACGCTCTAGTATAGGGATGAGTGGTACAGCGCTGTGAGAGAAAAGGACCCATTCAACGACACGCCTCTGAAAAGCGAGATAATATGCGAAGCCTTACGCTGGCAAGATCTCTGCAAAGGGTGTAAGGCTGCGAGTTTTGGCGCACTGAAGTGTTTCCTCACCTGATTGTTCCGTTCTGTCGGGAGCGAATACCTCGTTACACGTTTCCGCAACGGTTAATGTTGAAGACCAGTATGTTAGTGTAACGTGTAATGTGTGAGTTGCTTCAAAAATATGACTTGAACATTTTTTCAGGATTGTGTGGTGCTCGCAACACTGCATCGCGGGAGCCCCTCACCAGACAACTTAACGAAATACCTCGAAGTCATGTTTTTTTATCAATAAGTAGAAAAGCTGATACGTATGTCTACCTATGTTCCGCATCTGTCTGAAGTCAGAGCAGAATCTGGACAAACTAAGCAACCAAAGACGACTGGCAAAAGGAATCCTGCTACGCAAGTTACTGCCCTAGCACTGCAACATTACGGTGTTGCAAAAGATCGAAAGCGTTACGAAACGGATGAAGCCTAATGTCCCATTAGACAACTGAATCCGCATGCCAGATTATAAAATATAGCTGTTTACATTGCACATTATGACAACGGCACGCTTCCTGCGAGTCTCAAACCGTATTGTGCTACGGGCGCAAGGGCGTAAGACTGATTCATTTGACGTGAAAACGATCGGTTTCCCAATCTTCGCACTGAACCACGCCATCTGTTGTGCGACACCCCAAATTGTGAGCGCCACGTGCTGCAGAAGTACCGCCAACATGCGCGCAACTGAACACGTTCCATTTCGACTGTTCCAAACATACGGCGATAGGATACGTGTATGATGTGCTTTGTGTGTATAACACCACGCTGGCAAAATTTCGCCGCAAGCTCAAACTGCGGGCCGCTGACCGGTAGGGACAGCGGGCATGCCACAAAGCATGAGTGCCAAAAACCATTGCGAAGCATGTGAGGAATTAAAAAAACACGTGGAAAAACCACGGTCGTGTTTTGCGTCATGATGTGACGAGGGGACTAAGGGCATTGGTTACATAAAGCGTTACGAGGAAAACAATCCCCAATATGTCGTCGGAAGCCCTGAACGACCCAATCAGTGGCGCACGACCATCTTGCGACGGTCAGAACGAGGCGACCGGCCTCGCGCCACCTCCGGCTGTGCAAGACGCCCAAGGCCGGTCGCGTCGCGCCGCGCAGCGACGCCGCGGTGATCTCAGACGCGTCCCGGCACGCCGCACGGACCGACGGCCGGCCGACGCTGGCCGGCGCCTGGACGCGGGCACACGTCCGGTGTCCGCGCGCGCCGCGTCCATTGGACGGCCGACGCTGGCCGGCGCCTGGACGCGGCCACACGTCCGGTGTCCGCGCGCGCCGCGTCCATTGGACGGCCGACGCTGGCCGGCGCCTGGACGCGGCCACACGCCCGGTGTCCGCGCGCGCCGCGTCCATTGGACGGCCGACGCTGGCCGGCGCCTGGACGCGGGCACACGCCCGGTGTCCGCGCGCGCCGCGTCCATTGGACGGCCGACGCTGGCCGGCGCCTGGACGCGGCCACACGTCCGGTGTCCGCGCGCGCCACGTCCATTGGACGGCCGACGCTGGCCGGCGCCTGACCGCGGCCACACGTCCGGTGTCCGCGCGCGCCGCGTCCATTGGACGGCCGACGCTGGCCGGCGCCTGGACGCGGCCACACGTCCGGTGTCCGCGCGCGCCGCGTCCATTGGACGGCCGACGCTGGCCGGCGCCTGGACGCGGGCACACGCCCGGTGTCCGCGCGCGCCGCGTCCATTGGACGGTCCGCGAGCCACTTTGCAGCCCGGGACGACAAGCGCCAGGACAACGACCGTGGTCGGGGCAGCAAAGCATCGGAACGCGTTCCTAGCGGCACTGTGGGCGTCACAATACAAAGAGCGCCACGGACCCACACGCCCTCCTCTCAAATTATAACTGCCTACGATTTACGACGGGAGTGATGCGCGAGACGCCAGCAGCGCAGCCCGACTACACCAGCACTACCACACACTGCACCAGCACTATACACACTACACCAGCGTCATGCCGGCGTCAGCAGCGCCGGCCAGCCGGTGGGACCTTCGGCCACAACGCAACAGCACGCATGGCTGTGCGTTCGGCTCAATAGGTGACAGTCACCGCCGGGCGTGTGCGTTCCCAATCACCGGAGTCCTCACTGACGCGCTATGAGCGAATCTTAGCCACGGCTACACTTCAACAGACTCGGCATAGCATTGATATAATCCTAATTTGATTCGACCCATCTGTTCAAAGTCGGCCAGTCCAAAAGTTTCAGCAACTGCCCTGACAGCAATGACGGACCTATTCCGATTTTCACGTTTTGGCCAGTTACCTGTCTCTGGCCCAAGATCAAATTTCACGGCGGACACGGTTCTACAGCTTTCAGCGAAACCGTAAAACCAGCAACACACGTAGAGGAAAATGTAAACGTAATCACGGCCAACATGGCTCAGCACGCTTCCGAGCATCACGCCTGCAGCGTGCTAATATCGCAAGATGCATTTGCAGCCAACCAGGCAGATACGGCCGTGTGGCCAGGTCATGTCAAGATCACACGGCCGAACTGTGCCAGGTCATGTCAAGATCGCATGGCCCAACTGTGCCAGGTCACGTCAAGATCACGCGGTCCAACTGTGCCAGGTCATGGCAAGATCACACGGCCCAACTGTGCCAGGTCATGTCAAGATCACACCGCCACCCTGTGCCAAGATCGCGCAGCCGAACTGTGCCATGATCACCCGGCTGGACTATGCAAACATCGTCCGGCCCAACTGTGCCAAGATCGCACGGCCGAACTGTGCCATGATCGCCCGGCTGGACTATGCCATGATCGCCCGGCTGGACTATGCGAACATCGCCCGGCCGAACCGCGCCAAGATCACACAGCCGAACTGTGCCAAGACCACACGGCCGAATTGTGCCAAGATCGCCCGACCGAACTGTGCCCGACCGTACTGGACCAAGATCGCCCGGCAGAACTGTGCGAAGATCGCCCGGTCGGACTATGCCAAGATCGCCCCGGCACGCCTATGCCAAAATCGGCCGGCCGAACTGTGCCCAGATCGTTAGGTCAAACTGTGCCAAGATCGCCCGGCCGGACCATGTCCAAATGCCCAGCCGCGTATGCTGCACGTTGCATGGCAGCGAGCGAGCGCTCGACCTCGTGCAGCTGGCGATCTCGACGTCGATGCGACTCTGCCGCGACTCACCTCAGCCTCCTGGTCAGAGTCCGACTCATCCACCGCGTCCCTCTGGTCGGCCTGCTTCAGCGAGCACGCCTCCTCCTCGTTGCCACATATCGTGGCGCTCACAGCCGCATCTGCGGTCAGAGAATGGGCGCGGTCTCAGACGCCCAACACTGGCAGAGGCAGACGTGACAGCACGGCCGAAAACGAGGATGAAGCTGAAGTGCCCTGAGCATAAAAGTCACGAGAAATGTGTACGTGTCAACGACAGCAAGTGCTTGGCTGGACCTTACTTTGTTCTATGCGTTCCTGTTCACATCTTATATGTTAGTGGAAACAGGGGGTGCCATCATGGAATTTCCCATTAGTGAGATCCTGAGTGGCTCAGTACGGTGCGACGACGTCATTGGAGCCTTCCGGCTCCGCCGCGGCTCCGTCGCTACATCACCGCGGAAATATCGCATTCAGCACGGTGTCTAAGTGTTTGAAAGCTTTACTTGAGCGTTAAACAAGGGCAAGGCGTTTCTGTCAATGTTTGTAACGGCTTGCAAGTGGGGTGCATGCCGACAAACTGGCGTGCAGGAGCGGGAGAGCGGGGGGGGGGGGGGGGGCAGGCGGACCATGCAGGTTGGGGCGTAAAAGGCTCAGCCATCAAGTACCAACTCCTTTCAGAGCTACTGCAGGATGCCTAGTTCTCTCCGCAGATAAACGTATATACTGGAGGTGTTAGTTATCTGAACGGTTTGGTACGACTGGATCGCCGTTTACACCGTCTCTATGTTCTCTTTAAACGTGTATTTTCCACAAGTGCCAAATACGTGTTCTCGGAAGTGGAGAGCCATTCGTCCACCATACGCCCGTTGATTACACAAGCTCCATTGACCGGTGCACACTAAATAACTGAGAAAAGCACGCTATGACGGTCACCAACGACGAGTGCATACGGGACGGTTGCATTAAGAGGCACTCCAGCACCAAGAGGCGTGTGCAAGGTCCCTCATGGGCGCGGCCGCAGCGCCGCGGCGTCCCGCCACTTACCGCAAGCCTCGCCGTACGCGGCCACCTGGACGTAGAGCAGGTAGAGCGGCCGCGGCAGGAGGGCGGCCAGGCGGTGCTGCTGGCGGCGTCGGTCCAGCGGTAGCGCCAGCTCCTGTTGCAGCGGCCCGCGTGCTCTGCCGGGTACGGCACGACCGAGACGTCGTCAGCCGGCGGTCGTCAACGGTTCGTTCTCACGTCCAGCGACCACGTGTGCCGTCGCCCATGACACCGGCCGCTGGCAGTAAGACACTATACCGTCGTAAACACCCGTGGTTTGGGCCATGCCTCCCCATGGAGCACACCATTTGTTGTTTTTTTTTAGAAAGTCGACTGGACGTGGAATTGGAAGCCAATTTTTAACTGCAATGGATGCTGTTGAACGGACCACGGCCCCATGTCGTCGTGACACATCGTCGTGCAGGGCACCAATGGCAGTGTATTGCCGCGAGCTGAGCGAGCCGGCGCTCCACGACACAGTCGCAGGGCATGCAGGGGCTGACACAGCGTTGCAGGCCGGCCCCGGTCAGCGGTGCGGTCGGGGCCGGGCTCATCGACAGCTGATACGGCCTCGGTGTTGCGACATCTAGGTACAGCACGTACCACCAAACGACTGCTGTAGAAGACGAGTACTCGGCGGACACACACAGGGGTCGCCCCATCAGAGACGGCTCCGACAGGCACAGAGCACGCCAGATGAGCGTTATCGCCAGATGGTCGGGTAGCCGGACGTGCACATCAGCCTACAGCAGCCGGAGAAACACGGCGGCCGCGCTCAGCAGTGGCCTCGTCCCCTCTTGGGTCTCCTCTCGAAGGCTGGCTCTTCAAGCCCTCTTTAACTCCAGCTCTCAATCATAACAGGATCGGGATCTCCCACACCTATTATGCTTTTATGAAGGGATCGCGGGACATGTTATCACGGATCTTTTCATGGAGCCCCCGCGACTCCAGAGACAATATTGACGCTCAGTGGTCCTGACCCAATCGGGATTACACACGCACACGCACCCACATACGCACACGCAAACGCACACGCACGCACGCACGCACATGACGTCACGAGACGATCCGCGATCGGCAGAGGCGAGGGAACCGCGTGTTCTTTTTTGTTCGTTTTTTTTTTTAAGTAAGCCGTCGCTGCCCACATAACAATGCCTAGCAACGGACGATGCGCTGTTGGCGGTCTTGTATGTCCGGCAAATCGGCAGGTCTCGATCTCATGTGGATATTGTGGTCGACATTGTCTTTATCCAAAACAGTTGCCAGTAACTGTTCTATATTGTAATTAAATATATTGTAAATAATAATATTGTATTGCAATTGTAATATTTTAAATGTAATTGTAATATAAATATGTAAATAATAATATTGTAAATAAAATCCAACGTCATTCAAGTGTGCCATTCCTGCGCGCTGTATGTCTCCATGGGGTTCCATCAGCCGATTCCTTTTGGTCCACATTCGGAATTAAGCGCGTTCTGCATTGGCGTGTACCTGTGACGTCACATTCATGGGCGGAGCTTGGGTCGTCGGTCAATGATGAGCCGGACAAACATGGCCAGTCTCCAAGAGCAGCGTCCCCTTTCCACTTCCCACCAGATCGCGAGCAGCCCCCCCCCCCCCCCCCCCCCCCCCACCGGACCAAGAGCAGGGTCCCCTTCTCCTCCCCTGGACCGAGAGCAGTGTCTCCCTTCCCCCTTTCTACTGGACGAAGACAGGCATCCCCTCCCCTCCCACTGGACCACGAGCAGCATCCCCCTTCCCCTCCCACGGGACTACGAGCAGCGTCTCCCTCCACCTCCCACTGGACCAAGAGCGGCGTCCCCCTTCCTCTCCCAATGGACCAGGAGCAGCGTCCTCCTTCCTCCTCTCAATGGACCAGGAGCAGCCCCCACATTCTCCTTCCTACTGCACGTAGTGCGCGCGCGCCCGATCGCGGAGCATCGCGAGAGCTAGTATTGAAATATGCCTGGACAATGATATCGGATTAAGCGTTAAGTCATTTGAACATAACGGAGATTACAATGTGAAGGGATATAATATTGCGATGATCATTTAACCAATGTCGTCGTGGTGTCCTCGAATCTCCTCGCGTACTGAACGCCGTTTATCGCCACAATGTTATCATTTAGTGTCAATACTAGTACTGAAAATACAAATTACCATTCTTTCCCTGACGTGCAAACGCTTGACCAAGACCACGGCCGGTGGTCAAATCAATCTGACCTGTGTGTAACACGAACTCGGGTGAAGGATTAATTTGACCCCTACCGTAGGCTTTTCCGAGATGATTTCCGGACGCCGCGGCGTAGCCACATCAAACTTTAGATAGCCATAGACAACTGAATGGCGGATCGTTTGGTACCAACCATTTATATGTTCTTTTTGGGGTCGGTGACCTACAACAGGTAACAGATGGGGCTACGGATTCAGCGGGCAATTTCTAGGGAATCGTTCAACCTGATGCAAGAATGGAGTGTTAGACGAAGCCACACATCCCTCAGATAGTATCTTAAGCAACACAGCAATTGGATGAGCACATTCCATTGACCTTGGGACAGGTACAAAGGGCAGAAAAAGGTTAAAATCAACCCGTTTTATTTCTTTACAGCTTGCTGTATCAGGTAGGTTCTGGTACCCATCTTTAATTTCTTGGTAACTGGAGCCGCATTATACATATTTTATGTGTTTCTTAAATGTCGTAATAGGTCACAGACCTCGAATGGCAGGGTCGGCACTACGTTTTTAGGAACGCGCTGTCTAACGAAATCTTTGACGTCTAGTCAAATACAAAAATAAAAACAGCTTTGTGTGACATCATGACCTTTGAAGAGCCAGACAAGGTCAGTGACCTAGAATAATCACCAGTAACCTTTTCCTCAGAATAGGCATCTAGGTTCACGGTGGTTGCATAACAAGGTTTGGGGGCACTTTGGACACCAATCTGGGGTCTAACCTTGTTTGCCCTCATTTGATCCGAAGACCACGGCCCAGGAAGCTCAATTTTTGACACAATTGAGTTCACGTATAAGCCAACACACCCAGTGAACTCAAGTCTCTAGCTCTCTTATTTTCTGGGATCTCAAGGGTGCGAATTGAACCCCAACCCCACCCGAGCGAAGGGTGTTCAACCGGCCAACCGGACGCGTGTTAATGGCCATGGCATTTGGCTGCTGCTCACGGCAGAAGCCATGTCCAGCTGCCAGCTGCTCCAACATCTCAGGTGGCAAGCTGCGGCTGCTTTAAGGAAATAAACTATTTCACAAAAAAGAACGAAAGTGGTCAACCAGAAAAAGGCATAGAATTGCGAAGTGAGATGACAAGGCACCACATAGCGAAAGCGCACTAGAAGGAGTCGGCTTTCAGCACTGCGACCTTTCCGATTTCAGTTCTGCCGTTCCAGTTCCCTTCGAGATGTAGTCAGTAGTATGTCGACAGTATCGGTGATTAGACTAGTAACGTCGCAGGTTATCCGGTGCGGACCGGCAGCCGTGCTCGGGCCCCGCGCAGCCAATCTCGTCAGTCACCGGCCGCGTGTCGTCCGCACGCGTCCAGCGAATCAGCGGCGTCAGCGCCGGCCTGCCGCGGAGGCTCGCCAGTGCGCAGGTGGCGAGAGGCGGACTGATCTGACGCATCTCCGCTTCCGCAGACGGGCCGTCACCGGCCAACGCCCAGAGGAAACGCAGCTCCGTCTCCACACACGTTCTGACGAGTGTTGGGTGTGAAAAAACAAACCGTCGCCCGTCATCTACTCCCCAGATGAGGGCAAAGCATCCCTGTTCAGCCGTGGACAAACGCTGGGGCGGCTCATCTGACGGGGCTCCCGGGACGGGAGCACTCCAGGATCGGCGCTGATGCCGGCGGTGCTCATCATGACGTCACAAATATGTGTGGAGGTGTAGATAACACGGAGCGATCTCCCTCCACAAGCAGATCGCGGGCTATGCTGGCGCCGTGTTATATGGGAATGTCGTGGAAACCCGTGGCGCGCGGCCCTCTGAGTGGTCCCGGAAGGAAATACCACTATCGTGTGGATTCACGAAACCTGGATTAGGTGTGAGCTGCCCTTTCGACAGCTCTCCCTCACCACAAAACCCCGCTCGAAAATCGGATGGCAGTCGCATTCGTTCACATTCAGTATGACAGGAGCACGGTTATCGGTGCTTACGCTAAACCGCCCTGGAGTGGCCCCAGCACATCCGCTACACACCGCGTGGTGCCCGTTACACCTCCCGAAGACGGCCCGCTCAGAGCGTCGGCCTGGCTGGGGTGCGGCGTGCGCCTCGCCTCCCGGCTCTCGGCTGCGCATCTCACTTATGCCTGCCCAGCCACGGCCAAGTGTGCGCTATCCCCTCCCCCCCCCCCCCCGAGATAGCATTCCCAACGTGCCACAAAGCTGGGATGGGCGAGGTGTCTGGGTCCACAACCTCCGCCCGCACTGGTCGCCCTCCCACTCTCGGCTGGTGTCCGGCGCGCGTCGGCCAGCGCTGGGAGCGGCGTACCTCGAGTATGGTGGCCAGCTGGGGCGCCAGGTCGGCCAGCCGGCGGCGCTGTTCGCCGATGCGCTGGCTGATGCGCTTCTTGTCGCCGTCCAGCTGGCGGCAGTCGGCGGCCAGGCCGCGCCTCTGCTCCAGCTCCCAGTCCAGCCGTGCCAGGTGGCGCCTGTGCGCGTCGTCGCGGGTCACCGCCTGCCGGGGCGCAGCGGCGGTCACCAAGGGCGCAGCGGCGGTCACCGAGGGCGCAGCGGCGGTCACAGAGGGCCCGGCGGCGGTCACCGAGGGCGCAGCGGCGGTCACAGAGGGTGCAGCGGCGGTCACAGAGGGCGCAGCGGCGACAGAGGGCGCGGCGGCAGTCACCGAGGATACGCATCTGACAGCTGTGACCGGCGGCAGGCGGAGACGGCGAGCGTCCTCTGCTCATCACCGCCCGACAGCGCACGGGCAGGCTGATGTTGACACGCTGATGATAGCCGCTGATGCTCAAATGCTGACCGATTTTAGGTGCAGTTGAGGTAGACATACTGTTTAGAGTTACCGAATCTGTCTCACGATGAGACGATTCTACCCGCAAACGAAACGCAAAAAGGCTGTACCCTGCTCACAAGCACACCATGTTTTGAACGGCGGTTTCAACGCCGACACGTCTCCACGAAAGTTCTCTCCGGCTGAGCAGCCTGAGCCAACAGGTGCATCGTGCCTCTCCGACCATCGTGCTGCCACTGACCACCAGCTGCCCGTCCCCCCCCCCCTGCCGAGCGTGGCGTTAGGGACCCGGGTGCCTCACCAGCTGGCTGATGGTCTCGGGCGCCTGCCGGTAGAACTCCTCCTCCGACACCAGAGTGATGTCCTCGTCCTGCGACCTGCGGCACGTCGGCGGGTCACGCACGCACCGGCGGGTCGAGTCAGGGCAGGACAGTCTGAGGCAGCTTAGCATCGGGCGCGACCACGGGGAGCAGAAACCATGGTCAGACAGTCTTAGGCAGCTTAGCATCCATCGGGCGCGACCACGGGGAGCGGGAGCCAGGGCAGGACAGTCTGAGGCAGCTCAGTATCGGGCGCGACCACGGGAAGCGGGAGCCAGGGTAGTAGTCTAAGGCAGCTTAGCATCGGGCGCGACCACGGGGAGCAGGAGCCAGGGCAGGACAGTCTGAGGCAGCTCAGCATCGGGCGCGGCGGCCGACGGCACGCCGGCACAGTCCGGTCGAGACGGGACCATTTGGCGCTCCGTCGACGGCCACCACGCGTCTGACTCCGCAAAACTCGACACACGCGTTGTTCACGATCTCCACACCGCCGTTTCACTACAATAGCCTCCATCACATGCAACAGGGGGAAAACAGACATTTGTTGGCTTCCAGGCAAGCATCAGCTGCAGTACCGCTTCAGCAGTCCCACCCACCACGACACATCCGAATCTCGCCCACGAGACGTCACACAACTTATCAGGCTCGGAAAACCCCACAATGCCTCCAATGACCTGTGCGCGAGGCGGCAGTTGAACCCTGACTAAGAAGCTCGAGCCAGCCGTTGATCTTGAAGTGAAGCTGAGGGCAGGGGCTGATCTCTTACCTGAACTTAAGGCAGTGGTTGATATCTCACCTGAACTCAAGGTAGCAGTTGATCCGACCTGAACTTGAGGCAGCGGTTGACATCTCACCTAAACCCGAGGCAGGCGGTTGACATCTCACCTGAACTCAAGGTAGCAGTTGACATCTCACCTGAACTCGAGGCGGCAGTTGACATCTCACCTGAACTCGAGGCGGCAGTTGACATCTCACCTGAACTCGAGGCAGTGGTTGACATCTCACCTGAACTCGAGGCAGTGGTTGACATTTGACCTGAACTCGAGGCGGCGGTTGACATCTCACCTGAACTCGAGGCAGCGGTTGACATCTCACCTGAACTCGAGGCAGCGGTTGATCTCACGCTTGACGTGCACGATCTCGTACAGCAGGTTCTGCAGCGTCAGGTGGAAGGCATCGACGCGCTGCTTGGCCGCGTGTGTGCTCTCGCGCGCCGCCTTCAGCCGCACCTTCTCCAGCCGGTTGACCTTCTTCAGCGAGAGCACGTGCAGGCCAGCCAGCGCACGCAGCTCGGCGATCCGAGGCCGGTTCTGGCAGCGTCAGAAGCTTCCGTCACATAAAGCACACTAAGTATGATGCGCTGGTTAAAATGTGCATGGTAGCAACGAATAAATCCCTGCTTGCAATTGACTATCACCAGAGCAAGGGTCATTACACCTGATCATGTTAAGCCCTGAGCCTGATTTCCAGCAAGCGAGTCCTTGATGTGGGGCTTCACACCACTACACACACAAGTTGACCTGTTAATCACTCATGGCATCCATAGCACCAAGTGTTACCTTATCTGGAACCTTTTTTCAGTTCCTCAATGTCACACATTATCTTCCTGATGGCATCACAGGTACTGTGGAACAGCTTCATGTCTTCCTCAGATGTCCTGGAGGCTGATTCCTTTTCCTCAAATGCGACAGCAGCCTGCCATTGAGAAAAATGTTGCAGTTATTTAAGGCACTACATGTTTTGAAACAGTCTGAAAACTTGAATGATAATGTATACTCTGTATGACATGATAAAAAAAATTGTAATTGAAGAACACCATTACTTACTGTAAGAGGCCAAACAGCAATTGACAATTTGGGCAACAAAGTACAAGTCTGACATCTGCAAGGCAATGCATGATTCACATGTTGTACCAATAAGATGCTTCCTGTGGTATGGGGCTAACAAGACAATAACAGACATGAGTGCAACTTTTTTGCTGCACACTGCTCACAATAACCAAATTAAGCTACATGTCTGTTTTCAGTACCCAATTTACCTCACCAAAGTATGTTGTGTTCAAACACAATTTTTAAAAAAATGGGATTGCCTCTGGCTGGTAGTGTGAAGGTAGCTAATTGAATTGTAGATTGTGCATTTGTTTCACCATGCAGCTCATTTTGTGTCTTCATCTGAATTGGTTCCTGAGATGACAAATATCCTTAAAATCCTTTTGAACAGAGATCCCAGACCAGCATTTAAAACAGTGTAAACAATGCATGCTTCCAACCACACCTTTGCCACTGCTTATAATTGTTGACTATTTATTGCACCTCTTCACTGCTCAACATCACAATGTAAGAATGCATCATGTATGCATCACTCTTTGCGCTGTGGCATGAGGGTCAGTAAGGTCTGGAGGTAGGTGGCCAGGGAGCAGAAGTGATCTCTAACATCAGATGAAATCTTGGTTATTTTACGAGGTTGCAAAAACACACAATTTGGAAAGCATCTCTATGGAAATCCTCAGCTCCATCAATTCCATTGACTGTGCCATCTGCATCATCTCAGTGCTGAACCTGGCACATGTGAATGCAAACTCAGGTTACGACAATCCGAGCGCGGAACTTTAAATTATTTCTACTTGAATAGCAGCTTGAGAATGTCTTCTTCTATGGAATACCTTTTCAATATCATCATGATTGAAATGCTAGCTTTCGATCTGCTAAAACTACTGGCAGCCAGGCCGAAAGCAGAGCGATTGAGTCTCACTCGTGGATTTCCTATGTACATGACCTATAATTAAGCTAGCGATTAGTTCACTTTGATAGAAAAAGGATATCATTCTGATCCTATTATTTTAAGCATTGTGTCCTTAGACGCAGACACCTTACAAGTAGCTGTATCGTGAAATGCCCCAAAGAAAATCACTTTACACCCACTTACCTCGTATGGATCAGTTATCTTCGCAGAGGGCCGGCGGGGCCGCCTTTCCGCCGCTAGACGGGCTACTCTGAATTCTTTTTCGTTTCTTGGGGTGATAACACGTCCTCTGTCTCGGGCATTTCGACCCTTTTGGGCATGTCGTGCCACTTCCCGGGAACCTTCGAATAAAGTCGTAACCTCCAGCGCTACAGCGCTACAGCACTGTACCGTCCTCGCTCCGGGCGGTTGTGATCTCAATACTCCTACATGTGTTTGCAAGATTCGGTCAAATGACGTCACCGGTAGTAAATCTTCATGGCCTTCCAGAACTCTTAATCGTGAAAGTGAAGCTTTGTTGGTTGTTTGGTGCATTAGAATCTATTGCGTTTAAATCCAGAAATGTTTTGCTATGGTACTTATTTTTTGTCAATTTTGGTTTTGGCAGTGATGTGATGAGAGGCGATGACGACTTGCAGCATTTTAAAGACAGTAGCCTACATCTGTTGTATTTTCACTTATTGTAGATCAGATGCGTAGGATTTGACCAGAAATACCGATGGTTTCGAAATCCTACTTCATGGCTAAGAATTTCTATTTTATTTGGTTATACACGATTAACGAAAACGTGTATATGAGACGGCCCCTACGATTTTCTTGAACATTGCTTCATCCGGGGGTGTCAATTTCTGTAAACTATTGTGGGGGACCGAGCCGAAAGTCCAACAGCCTACTCCTCCCTCCCCACATTTTTTCTCACCGGATTTAGCTCGCTTGATTTCGATTAAACGCAATCTACGTTTTTGAGTGTTTTATAATTTATAAAGCCTCTAATCTGACCAGTATAGAAGTCGCGCAAGGTTAGATCCAGGGAGCAGACACTGGACGCACACGTCTCTTCCGATCGGCGCGCGAAGACGCTATTATATATATATATATATATATATATATATATATATATATATATATATATATATTATATAGCGTATATATATAGCGTATATATATATATTAGCGTATATATATATATTAGCGTATATATATATATTATATATATATACGCTAAGAGGCTACCTTAGGGCGGTAGTGGCGCCCTTTTATGGCGGTGATGGGAGGCGGTACGCAATCTGGCTGCGGGGCACGGACGGAGTTAGCCATGAAGAACTTTTGCCATTCCCATATTCCAGAGCTTTTCACAAGCCATGTGTCTTATGGCGCTAGGTATGTGAAGTTTATTGCATCGTTTATCCGTTCAGCTGTTACGGCTTGCACCTGACGGTGGGAGCAACCGTGACTTTTCGTCATGAGACTGGTGCGAGATGCCACTACGCAGGAAGATAGAAAGATATGATCATTTTTTGTTCGTTTTTTTGTAACATTCCAACCAAAAACATTGGGGGGCCAAGCCGACATTCGGGGGGGGGGGGGGGGGGGCAAGGCCCTCATAAAAGAATACAAATCGACACCCGTGGCTTCATTGAACCAATAGACCGGTGCTGATCAATCTGGCTGAAGAAACCATATGGGCCATTGGTATGTAAGGCATCAAAACCCAATAGGAAAAAAGTCAACACGATTTTGCATCCACTTGCCGACAAATATATGCCGGACTGCATATACTAGGAAAGCACATGGAAGTCAACACAAATACTTAAATGCTAACATAAATTGCCTATGTTGTGACGAAAATAAGAGCTTCGTGGAAGGCCGCAGACGTACCACGGCAGTTTTCCGACCAGCAGCCCGGTTCAGCAGACCGACACCTCATCCACCTAACGGCCGTGGTGTCGGTGCACCCGGGCGCCAGCCGACGCTTCGGGCCTACAACTGGCCGCCCATCCGTGGGGACGGGACAGACGCGCGTCACGCGACCACGGGCGCAGGAGCCAGGCGTCGCCGCGAAACCGGCAGCTCCGCGTGGCAACCGCGTCGTGGCACGCCTGGCACGTCGTGGCACGCCTGGCACGTCGTGGCACGCCTGGCGAATGATCACTCGCTCCATGTTGACCTGGGGGAAGGAGAGGGGCCTACCGATTCGTCAGTGTGGGGCCGGCTGACCTTACCCAACCACTTACGGCCACTTTCCGGGCTATCAAAGGCTTTTGTTTCGAGGCACTCGTTCGCCATGACTGGCGGAACTCGGCTGTGCTCCTGAGGACAAGGTTGCTAGAATCATGTGAAGACTTATACATTTCATCCCGTGATAGCCGGATGAAATGGGTTTGCTGCAGGACATGGACGGCGATTGTATAAGTCTTGCCATGAGTTTTGTCACTGTCTAGATGTTCTGTTTATTCTTGAGCCTTTGCGAGTGCTGTGTTTTGCCTCTTTCTTGCCGGCACGCTGCCCTTTTTGTTTGCTTTTTTTAAGTAGTCATTAATATACAAATGCATCATAAGTCGTATACCAGCGCCTTCACCAGAAAACCAGGGGGGTGTCGAGCCACTCAGCGCGTAAGGCAAAGGAAAAGGTTTAACGGACTACGGAGCGGTACAGAAAACTATTCCAACATTTGCCTGGAGTGAAATTTTTGTACAATCGAAAAAATATGTATAGGGCAGCCCCTACAACTGTTTCAAAACTGCTTAATCGAACCATAGACCTGTGCTTATAAATATGGCAAAAGAAACTTCATAGAGTAATTAATTCTTAAGCGGTCAAAACCCTCTAAGAAAGTTTATAACGGAATTTTTCATGTATATATATACATATATATATATATATATATATATATATATATATATATATGCGATTATACATTTACATAAAGATGTGCCGACTTGCATATCATGTGGAAGAATTGGTTGACCCAAATATTGAATTGTAAACACAAATTGCCTATCTTGTCTAGGAAGGAAGCTTCACGCGATCGAAGACAACATGTCTTTCTTTAGAGCGGCCAATACGACTTTCTTCAAAAGTGCCTCATCAACCATGGAACGATGGTCATCAAACTGGCTTAAGAAATCCTACGGCTCATTAATATCTAACGGTTCAAAACCCCGTAGTATGTTTGCATTTCAGCATTTCGGTTGACAATGCGTATGAATTGCATATGGTATGAAGGCATTTGTCAACCAAAATAGAGAAATGCAAACATAGGTTGCCTCTCTTTTCTATGGGGTAAGTTATACAGGATTGAAAAACGTTTGTTGGGCGGCTCAACGATTTTAACAGGATTCTGCACTTACTTCCCGACAAATGTGTGTCGAATTGCATATTGTATGAAAGCATTCGTCAACCAAAAGACAGAACTGCAAACATAAATTGTCTTTCTTTTTATGGGGAAAGCTACACACGATTGAAAAACACGTATATTGGACGGTCGCTCCGATTTTCCTCGAAGTTGCCTTAGCAAACCATAGGCCAATGCCTATATATATATATATATATATATATATATATATATATATATATATATATATATATATATATATATATATATATATGTATGTATTATAGGCTTGCCACAGCTAGTCATCAATGAGTGAAAATAAACCTGTGACGAAGTCAATATTTTGACAATCGACCAGCCATTAGCACACATCTTATCTTAAAGGAGTCAGATCTGATGCAAAGTATGCTTTCCTGTGTTGAAAAGCAACTGATTGCTTATCGGTATCTCCCTCCAACGGTGCCGTGTTGTTGAAGACCCTTGGTTGGTTAATCTTTCATTATGGCAATATAGAATGGTTGCTTGTGCAAGAGAGGATTTCAGAATTGTAACGTTTGTAGAAATTGAAGTTAGAAGTTCTCCTTATGCCAAAAAACCTTTGTGCAGATAATTTTTGGGAACATCGTCACTTAGCCCATAGGTCTGTGAGGTGTTTAAGCTCTTCAAGGTCAATCAGAGAACTTTTCCAATTTGTTATACATCAGGGTCACTGTGTTGTATCTCGGCCCGCCGAAATAGCACTCATCGTAGGAATGTTTACCATCCTGCTTTTAAGCACAACTTCTTCCCAATCGGAGATGCTTGCAACGTTACTATGCCACCGTTACTGTGCTGGTCCTGAGGTGACAATGCCGGCCCTGCACAGCAGTGGCCTTCAGCATCACAACTTAAGCACCTAACACAGTGTTTGGTCCTACCCCTGGCCGCGTTTGGGACGGCCAGCTTTGGACCACTACCGTCGCGATAGGTTCCAATCGTCAGACACAATAATGGTATGCACCACAGCCATAGGCTGTTGCTTGTAGCCTGGCGGCTACGTAACGCTTCTCAAGTAGATATTATGGTTACAAAAAGATCTCGTGTGCATTTCTTGTAATAACTCGCGGCACGTTTCACAGCGCAATAGCTGCATCTTCAGATCATACAATATATATATATATATATATATATATATATATATATATATATATATATATATATATATATAATCAGAGTATCGTTGCAGTAAATAGTCCTATCGCCAGTCAGTAACCGTATTGACTTCGTGTTCTGTCCCAACTCTGTTGAAAAGAGTTGGCGGCAACGGGACTCGATCCCACGCTTGGACGTCGAGACGAGTGTATGGGTCTATATGCCTTGCCTGATAGCTCGAAAGGAGTGCCACGGCGCACACTTTTGATCCAGGAAATCGAAAAAGAATTGTTCGAGCTACATTTCTATGCACTTTTTGTGCATATGTATGTTCAAAAATTCGAAAAGCCGCGGGCCTGAAAAAGGGCATTTTAACATGGGAACTCTATGGCTAGTCGTAAAATGTACGTCGTTGCTGCCATATTTTATACTAGACTTTGGACCTCCTGGGTGGGCAGGACCGTGGAGGAGGATTGCGGTGCTGTATGACTGATGCCATAACGTTGCAGTCTCAGAGGGTGATAATGGTACTACTGACTTTTGCACCGCCTTCCTGCGAATACAAGCTGTTTCGGCCCAACTATGCCGGGTGAAGAGGTTGTTCCGGTGTCTGCGGAAGTGGTGCCTCGTGCCGTGTGTGTGTGTGTGTGTGTGTGTGTGTGTGTGTGTGTGTGTGTGTGTGTGTGTGTGTGTGTGTGTGTGTGTGTGTGTGTGTGTGTGTGTGTGTGTGTGTGTGTGTGTGCGTGTGTGTGTGTGTGTGTGCGTGCGTGTGTGTGTGTGTGTGTCTTTGTGAAGTGTTGTAGGACGACGTGGAGAAAGCCCTATGTGCAGCATTTGCGCTGGACCAGTGCGCGACCTATGACGCATTGCCCGACCGGCGAATCCAGACGCGTGAGTCTGCAGATGTTTACCTGGCTGACTTGAAGCGGCTGGCGACGCTTTTCGGCGGTGTGACGGGCCGCGCGCTGGCGTGCGCGTTTGTCGCCTGCCTCCCGGAGTATGTACACCGGATGATCCGCGCCGGTTCTCGCGCAGAAGCGCTAGATCTGATCGGCGTTGCAGCGCGAGCTCGCGCCGTCTCGAGTGACCAAAGAGTCGCGACGGCAGCGGCAGTGGCGGTGGCGGCGCGCAGCAGGGTCTTGGCTCACTGCAGAACGCTCACGGTCAGCCGGCACGCGCCCCGCGGCCCCAGCGTGAGCGCCGTTGCTGGTCGTCAGACAAGCCTGGTCACTTCGCGGCGGCCTGGAGGGCCTGGCGTTTCAGCGCTAGTGCCAGCTCCGGAGCAGTGAGAAGGGCGCTCCCAGTGCTGCAGATGGCGGTGGATGGACAGCCATGTAATGTGCCGCTTGACACCGGTTGCACGGACAACATCGTGAATGAAGGGCGGTGTAGGCGGTCGACGCGCGCCGTATCGTGAAACGACGATGGGAGGCGGCACGCTCGAGTGCCGGGGCGTCGGCGAGATGACAGTGTTGAGCGCGGGGAGTCCGGTGACGCCCTCGGCCCGGGTGGTAGCGATCCGCCCGATAGGGGTGGACGCAGTGATATGGTATGAGGGGCATCGCCGCTCTGGGCGGTGGTGAGCGTCCGGACGCCGGCGGCCGTCAGACTTGGCTCCGCGTCCGGTGGGGCGACGGGTTGGCCTCCCGCGGCCAGTGGGGCGATGGGTTGGCCCCCCCGCGGCCGGTGTACCGACGGGTCGATCTCCCACGGCCGGTGGGGCAATGGAATGGTCTCCCGCGGCCGCTGGAGCGACGGGTCGGTCTTCTGCGGCCGGTGGGGCGATGGAGCGGCCTCCCGCGGCCAGTGTAGCGACGAGCTGGCCTCCCGAGGCCGGTGGAGCAGCGGCCGGCCACAACAGACGCTGCGTGACTGGGAAGACGTGCGAACGCAGTGACCGACGGCTGGGATGACGTCACGGATGACGCGATCCTGCACGCCCAGGTCGGACACGTGTGCGAGCGCCTGTCAGCTACAGACCCGGCGCGCCGGCCAGTGGTGCTGAGCCAGAGACCCGCGCGATCGTTTGGACCGACGCCAGCTCGATCGCGGCCCCGGTGTCGTCGTTGAGACACGGGGCGGCGGCGTGATGGAAAATGGCTGTTGGCTGCGACCTGAGAGATCCGCCGCAGATCACACCAACATGGCAAAGCTGGACGCCACCACCCGAGGGCTAAATCTGGCCATCACCTGAGGCGAGAGAAGTCGACCTGAGGACGGACTCGGCCGTGGCGCATCGCTAGACCGGCGACCGCCCTTAGCGGCCGCGCGCTCCCCGAACGCGCGCGGCTGGGGAGATGCTTACCCGTCGATGCGTGGGCATCATCCGGCAGCTGGTAGAAGAGCTGGAGCTGGGCACGACAGTTACGCCAGTCCGATCGGCGGAGAACCTCGCTGACGCGCTGACGACTGTGCCGAAGGAGTGGGTGCGTGACGTGGAGATGACGGCAGGCACGCCGGTGGGAGATGAGGACGCCCCAGCACGGCAGGGACGGCAGTGCGTCGCCCTCGGGGAGACGGCGGCGGTGGCCTGTGGTGTGACACACGCTGACGTCATCGAGGGAGACCCGCCCAGTGCATTGGTCCGGACGGCGCGCGAGCGGACGGGCCATCCGGACGTCCGCCGGACGTCGCCCTTCGCGCGTCGTGACGAGTCACGTGACGTCACGGGGGCGGCGGCGTGGGCGGTAGAGGAGAGTTGTTACGTGTGCCGCGCCTTCGACCCGGCGCCGATACGGTGGCGGCGTGGCTCGCTCGGCGTGACCGTGATGTGGGAGCGCATCACCATTGACGTCACACATGATGAGCGACGGAGCTACTTCTCCATCATCGATTGTGGGCCGTCGCGTTTCTGTGCGTGGCGCCCGCTGCGCCACGCCGACGCCATCGAGGTCGTCAGCCACCTCGAGTGTGGGGCGCCAGTGGAGATTTTGGCCGACAATGACACGGTCTTCCGCAGTCAGAGCTTCGCTGTGCTCGCTGCCAAGTGGGGAGCAGAGCTGCGGTTACGAGGGGCGTACGAGCCGGGCGGAAGCGAGATTGTGGAGCGTGCTCATCGGAATGTGAAAGCGATTGCCGCCCGGAAGCGCTGCTCGACCACGGAGGCCGTACATCTGCACAATGTGACGTTCCGTGACGGGAGTGATATGGCGAGCTCCCTGCTGGGGGACTTTGCAGATATGCGGTGCGCAGCCGCGTGCGGCCGGCCACTGATCAGCCTGTGCCGCAGCGCGCTGGAGCTGAGCCGGACATGCGCCGCCCGGCGCCGCCGTGGCCCGCGAGGCGTGCGACGCAGAGTGAGACGGCGGGGAGCGCGATGCACTGAACCGTCTCGGAGGAGGATGGTGACAGGCATTGTGTTTCCACAGGGTGTGGAAGTGGACGGACTGCCATGGCACGTGCGGTGCCTCCGACGGCGCCACGATGGTGTGGCGACAGAAAGTGACTCGAGGACGACGTTTGGCGATCACGACAGTGACGCGCTGCCATTGCATGTTCCGGTGCGCGGCGACCGAGAGTCGGGCAGTGACGACGACCGAACCGGCTCCATCAGAGCCGCTTCTCCGACAGAGTGAGCGCGACCGGCGTCGGCCGCAGCGGCTGCGCTGTGAAGACGACGTTTGAGTTCTGCACTGGGCGCTAGTAAACTGTTCCGGGCTTGATGTTTCGCTGATGTTCAGATATTTGAGGTCCTAGGTGGGTGTATCAATAATTGTTTAGGGGTTGCGCGCAACATGGAAGTGCCCAGTGATAAAACGCACGGGCGCTGCAGCCGGAAGTTGTCGGCCTGCTCAAGGCTATAGAGACGAGCGTGGGGTGAGCCGGACGGTCATGTCGTCCGGCGTCTTGACCAGCGCCAGGAACACGAGGCCGGCAGATGACCTTCTGTGGCGCATGGACACAAGCAGCTTAGCTCGTGGCCGCCGACGGACGTGGCGGCTCCGGGATCGTGACGCCGTTGACGAGTGGGACGACGCTCAGTATTTCACATTTCACCACATCCTATAACATCTAAAACCCGACAAAAATGATGCTTGACACCAGACAGTACACCGATCATTAACACACTAATATTTCCTATAGTAGTCCCTTAAATATCATGCGGGAGACATCATCTCATTGGTAAACTCATATCTGAGTCAGCACTTTTAAGCAGACGTTAACAAATGCCCGATGCTTACAACTACCTTGGTATATTATCCCGTACTATACCTTAATAATTTTGATTTGCACGGTCAAAACGGCATCACATCACTGCTCACGTCTCTCACTCACTCACGTCAGATAAGCCGCCAAAACAAAGTAAGGACTTCAAATAAAAAGTGAACAGCATGGAGAGCGACCGCTGGGTTCCATCAATCCTTGCCAACCTCATCTTTCGGGTTGTCCGAAATTTTACGTTTTTAACCTACTAGATTCCTCTTGAAACGCCGGCATTTTGCGCACTACCAACCGAGGCAAAGAACAGCGTAAATATGAGCTTTTTCCCCGATGGCGCGGGGTTAGCCACCATGGCAACCGGGGTTTCACGGGGTTTAAAGCTGTCACGACACCAAATCCTCCGACCGATCACAGCATGAGATTGATGTCCGAATTCGCAGCAGGGGTTTAGAAACAGTGACCCTTTTTAATGCTTAAGATACCGGAGCGCACCCCCTTAGGCCTGCCTAAGGCTATCTAACGGGCCCGCCCAAGTATCTAACGGGCCCGCCCAAGTATCTAACGGGCCTGCCCAAGTATCTAACGGGCCCGCCCAAGTATCTAACGGGCCCGCCCGGCTCGCCGTTGCGTTGACGGGAGCACTTGGACGAGGGAGGGAGTAGAGTTGGGAGAGCCGGGGCGGGTGTTGTGGCGCTGCGTGGCCGATATCATTTCGTTGCTGTCTCGGGGAGTAGTAATGAAATAACGGACTTTCGCACCACTTTCCTTGCAATTACAATCAGCCAATTCTTTGCAATTTTAGCGAGGTTTTGGCATGCAATCGATAATCTAAAGAAGGGGTATTTATAAGAAAGAACAGATTTTATAACTTTATAACTGCTACGCAAATGCACTAATCACAAGGATCATGATGAAAAAGACGATTGTCACTCAGACGTTAGAGTCGTGGGGGCTGCCATATAGGTTTTTTATTGTGTGTGGCTCGCCCTAGGCAAGAGAGGCAATTTGCTGTCATTCCTGGATTTGGGTTGATAGCGTAAGCAAATAATCCCGTTATCTGTTTTTCCCATGGGGTATTGACCCCAAGATATTAACGGCTCATAGGGTTTCTTCAGCCAGACTGATGACGATCGTTCTATGGTTTGATGACGCAGTTTTAAAGAAAAATGTAGCGCCACCCCAAAAATATGTTTCTTCGATCGTGCATACTGCCCTCTTAGACGAGATGGGCAGCTTATGTTTGTATTTCTGCATTTGGGTTGACAAGTCCTTTCATATGAAAAGAGAGTCGGTGTGTATTTGTTGTTAAGCAAGTGAAAACTGCCGTTATATATTTTTTCCAAGAGATTTTGGTCCCTAAGATATAAATGTCCCTCAATATTTATTTAGCCAAATTGATGATCGAAGAAAGTGGTAGGGGTGGCTCAAATGAATGCTTTCTTTGATCGCGTATAACTTTCCTCCTATACAAAATAGGCGGATTTTCTGTGCACCGGTCTCTTTGGATTAAAGTGAGCCCCCAGGTACCGGCTCGCCCTGTATGATATCTGAGTCTGAGGGAGGATATTGTCCAGTAAAGGAGATTCTCTACTTATGTCGCCAAATCTGGGCTGGGCTGAATGTGGGTCAACTTCCCCTACATTTCGTTTGTCGCATTCACAATGCCGGCTTCATATGGCAGCCTTTTGCCGGGCGACGGTCGCCCGCCGGAATTCAACGGCCTCGCTGCTACATTGGGCGGCGGCCAGCGACGAAGCTTCTGCACCAGGTGACGGCCACCAGCCAGCGGGAGTAGGCAATAGCGCGGGCACGGGGGGGGGGACACTTCATGTTTAAGGGCCCGGAGGGCTCTGAAAAGTCAGCGAGAGGGCTCATTCAGGGGCCCCGGCCCGCAGGGCCGGGCCCTTAATAGCCAGCGAGAGGGCCCCACGCCCTGATCAGAGGCCCACTGGAGCAATAAGGGCCTGTATTTCGGTCGGCAGACGTCCGGCCGGCGCCGGGGTGGCCCGCCTGCTCGTGCGCCGCCCGGGCCGATGCACTGAGTGTGTCTCCCTCGGTTACGTCAGCGTGCGTCACACTACAGGCCGCCGCCGCCGCCGCCGCCGTCTCCTCGGGGGCGACGCACTGCCGTCCCTGCCGTGCTGGGGCGGCCTCCTCAACTCCCACTGGCGTGCCTGCCGTCACCTGTAACGCATAGTCGGCTCTGTGGCGGCATGGGCCTAAGGCCATTTCCCAAGCAGAAGCAACGCCAGGGCCAGTGACTTACGTTACTTGGGGCACCACAGCGCCTAACAGGGGCCACGAGTCGGTTACAGGCAGTGCTCGAGGAGGCGCGAAGAACATAGAAGGTTCACCGGGCACCGCCGTATCATATAGTCGGCTCCGTGTCGGTATGAACCTGAGGACCCACTTCACAATCAGCTATAAAGCCGGGGCCAGTGATTTACACTGGTCGAGGGCCTTGTTTCTGTCAGGGGCACACAGCTCCTAACAGAGGGTCCTATGCTCGCAAGGGCCTCGGAAAGTGTTTGATGAGGCCTGGAGAGGGGCCTGGACGGCCCGCCGGAAGCGACTAGCGAAGACTCGGCTGGAGGGCATAAGGGCCAAAAGGACTGGATGTACGTCACATAAAGAATTGCGGCTCGTAGAGTCGTGACCTGAAATATCAGTGAGAGGTCCTCTTGCACCGTTTTAGAGTCCCTGAGACGATGCGAGTGTTTAAGCCGGTCAGAAACCACGAGCACTAAGCAATCGGCGCCATGTCCGCCTAAGCCCTTGTGACCCCCTTTTCCAAGCAGAAACGAGGCCGGGACCCGCGATTCGCAATGCTCAGAGTCTTTGACACAGTGAGGGGATCCTGTGTCGGTTAGGGGCCCGCGGTGCCGAAGTGTCGGTTAGGGGCCCCAGTGTCCTGTGGCGGCAAGTGGCCCTGTGTCGGAGCGGTTTTTGAGGGGCCCCGAAAAGGGACTGAAGGGTATCTCGAGACTAAAGATCAAAGACTCTATGGGATGGCTGAAGCGTACGAAGAGCTGGCTGTATGTCACATTAAGGACCTTCGCCCGTTACGCCGTGATCTGAAATGTTAGAGAAACTCTTGCACCGGAAGGAAACCCTGAGTCAGGGCGTTTCCCCATTTCGGCCAGAGACCACGAACAACGAACAATCAGTTCCATGTTCATATGAGCTCTGAGGGGCCCATTTCCCAAGCAGGGACAAAGCCAGGCTCGCGATTTACATCGGTCGGGCTCCTGCTTCGTTCAGGGGCCCGCAGGGCATAACAGGGACATTCTGTGTCAACAAGGGGCCTCGAATCGGTCAGGGGAGGATTTGTTTAACAGGGACGGGGAGGGGAACCCGAATGGCAGAGGGCCTCTTGCTTTGGTCGGGACCCTCCGACAGTTGAAGGAGACAAGAACTTTTGATGAGTACTCACGTTCGGGTACTAGAAGAGTGCTGTGCCAGTCGGGGTCCCCAGCACCGAACGATGGGCCCTCCATCCCTGTCCCAGCAGGGGCCCGTTAAGCCCAACTGGAGTCTACGTGCCAATTATTTGACCACCTGCGTTGAGCAAGGATGATCTCGTTGATATGGTTCGTCCGTCGATCCGGGGTCAACTGTGCGAGTCAGAAGGCCTCCCGCGGCAGGAAGCGGACCAATGCGATATGATGCATCCCTTTAAGGGCCTCCGGATCGGTCAGGGATGCCACCCCGTATCGCCAGAATGACGGTCGGAAAACACACTGCGGTGGGACAGAATGGCTCTGCAGCCCTTGACCGTGAACAACAACGCACCCCCTAGTGGTGTACTCAAGGGGGCCTCTGTGCCGGAAATAAGGGTCTCCTTAGCACTTAATGGAGTGGGTCGAAATGAATTCAAAGCGCACAAGGCCATCCCATGTTTCTCTGAGAACATGGGCGTAGGAACAGGGGGGGGGGGGGGGCACGGGGGCAGCAGCAGCAGCAGTGTTAACTGCCCCCCCCCCCTTCAGATTAAGGTTGTGCTTAGCTTACTTTTGCACCACGTCTAAATATACATGCCGATTTACCTAATTTACCAGCCATTTTCCTCAAGATGTGTCATCTTTTCCATTTGTTTATTGGCCATCGCTTAGGATCACAGCTGTAGGGCCCACGCCGCGCGGCCTGTGGAGACTGCAACGCCGGGCGTTCAATTCGTTGTTCCTATGACTTGTGAGCGCGTATATTCAAAACCATATTACATAGTTCTTGATTAGCAATGAATTCTAACTGAATCTTGATCATTTTAAGTGTTAATACAAGCTTAGGAGCCCATTTCATATACAAATACGTTCAGGGATTCCCCAATATTTCTAAGGAAAACAGAAAACACGGAACTTGAGCCTGTGTGACAATTATTGGACCACCGTTGGTGATCAGGGATGTTGTTGTGTCAATGAGGGTTTCTGTGCTGATCCGGGGCCAACTGTGCGGGTCAGAAGGCCTCCCGAGTCGGGGAGGGGAACAATGGGATATTATATATCCTTTCAATGGCCTCCGAATTGACCAGGAGATACCGCCCCGTGTCGCTAGAATGACAGCCAGAAGACTCTTCGCAATGGGACGGAGTGACCCTTCAGCTCTTGAGCGGAACTGGTAATATGCCCTTGGTGTTGTAATGAAGGGGCCCTTGCTCGGAACGAAATAAGGGGCCTCATTATTGTTGAGTACAGTGGAAGTCTCATTGTTGAACAGAGTAGGTCGAAATGATTTTTTG